TGTCATTATGGCTGTGATTGCAATTCAAAACATAATATATTGTGGAACGTACCTCAGAAGGGTGTGCACTCCAACTCAGGTTGCTCTCAGAAGCTAGAGAAATATGAGAAGATAAAACTAGAAGAGTTGTCATTGTTTTGAAACTCCTGGGATTTTTCCTCCTGCTACTTCTTCCTGTCTCTTCACAGGCAGCTGCCTTGCAACTTCCAACTACAGCATGTAGTAACAGACTTTCACTTGCATGCAGCAATGCAGGAAGTATCATTTTGCACAGTAGATGCACTTCAGTATGGCACTGAAAAATAGTGCAGTATTTTTTTTTTTTTATATCTATACACTTGGAAAAGGCAATCTAAGAGTCTAGTATGATTTGTACTGTAATTGTAATTTTCTTCGCTAATTTTAACAATGTTTTGGGTTTTTGGGGGGGAGATATATTATTGTTTTCTTCATACAGAGTTCTGTAAAGTTAACTTCTTTGGACAGGTCATAGAAATGAAGTTGTTGAACACTTAAACAAGTTCTCTGAACAATTTTTGTCAGCAAGGCGAAATTTGCACTTGGAAGAATGGAAGAACCTACATTTTTCTAGATTAGACTACAGCCCAGGTCACTTGGTTGTTGAGCAATAGGAATTAGTTTTCACTTTGAATAAGCCAGTCAATTTTCTTTGCTTAAAAGATTCATGATCCTTGAGGTCCTTTCCAGCTCTGGCCATTTTGTGATTCTGTGAATTTTCCTGTGGCTTTTTCACATGCATGTGCTTGCATTGGTCTTGATTCTGAAAAACTGCCTCTTTTAAAAGTAGATTAAATGTTGAAGTTTTATCTTAATTTCATTCCTTATAGCTGATGTTTTCTGTCATCAAAAACTTTTACCAATTAGTGATGAAGATTTTTATTTTTTTCTTGACCTTGGGATTTCTTCCAGAGAGCTAGGAGGAACAAGGAAGTAGAGCAGTGGAAGACTGATTTTTACGTGTTTGAATTAGGCAATATAATTTGGGCTGATCTGAGGGGTGCAAAAATTACCATGTAATCTTTTTTTTCTTTCTGTTATGTGTTGAGAGAATTCTGTAACGCAAAAGATCTGTAGAAATTCCTGTCTCTGTTTCCGTGAGAATTATGAACATACACATGAATCCTCAAATTTTGTTCTGAGCAAATAGCAGATCACCTTGGCTGTTGCAACAGTGCACAAGTAATTGCACAATGAAAGTGCACTATTTACACAGTCTTCAGAATAGCAGAGTAATATATTAATCTATGTGGTTTTAGATATTCTCTTAAACGTTTGAAATCTGTGACTTCAGTCATGATTCACTGCTTGTGATTTTTGGAATGACTGTCTCATTTGTTGATGAAATCAGATTCTTCAGCAGTAAAATGCTATGTGTGATCATTTTAAAACAAAAACGATACAGCTAATTACTATGAAATAATGTATAACAAAATTTCAGAAGTGTCCACCTGTGTGGGATTAGGAATTGCTTTTATGTGCCTCTAAGAATACTATCAAAACCTTCGAACAGTTTATGCATCGTGTCTCTATTAACAGGCGGCACAAGTGATGACTGTTAATACTTTAGAAGCAAATACTAATGGTGTCTATTTATGTCAAAAATAATCATTTAAAGCAAAACTGATCAGGTGGTACATAATTTAGATGGTCTTTCTTGTCTTCATCTTGTCGGAGGAACTGTTTTGTAACTGCCCTACTGTCAGAATCTGGTGTGCATACTTTTACAGTTGAATGTTGCATCTGAAATCAGTAGAGAAAATGGTTGCAAGGGGGAAAAGCATTTTTTTAAGGCTATCGTGAATACTTAAGAAATTTCAAGATTATTTTTAAAAAGTATTAAGGAAAAAAAACAAACAAACACAACTTTTGGTATACAAAAATGTGAATAAAGTATTTTAATAGAAAGTAATATAAGTATTACAGTATTTTGTTGGTATGCATCTCAAAGGATTACCTAAGCACCTTACCACTGAGTTTTGCTCTAGGTTGTTTCAACCACTTGCTATTTGTTAATGTTTTACATAACTTGTCTATGTTCTTGTTTGACATAAAAATCTAGAATCAATAAGTAGCCCAGCTATTTGCTAGAGAATGCATTACTGTTAACTATAAAGCTCTAGCATTTTAGTCGTCTTCTTAGTTTCCCAGGAATTATTACACACATTCTGTAATTGTATTATTTGAAGTCAAATCTCTGAGGAAAACAAAACAAAAAATACCCTCTAAACTACCTGCATTTTATTTTCAGTCTCATCAAAATTTGCCAGTCTGGCTAGTTTGCTGGGCCAGACATCCTGCCTGCCTCCTGAAATGGATGCCAGGTTGCTATGTAGTCAGCATTATTTGCCTTTGAATAATGACGTCAGTTTACTCATAGTTGGACTAGACAGAGAACACGTGTGTACTCAGTCTCCTGGAGTGAGTCAATTCTTTTCCAACAGTAGCTGGTGAAAGTTTTTCTCTCTAGCATGATATTAAATCATGATGAACCCAATGAAAGTTCACTGGAAACTTCGGGATTTAAATTTCTCTAAATTTTGATTTGCTTTTTCTAGTATCCCTCAGAGTAAAAACAGCACTCACTGATTTGAAGTTTTTAATTATACAAATTCACATTTGCAGGGGCTTGTGGTACTTACAGGGTCACAAATCAAATACTGGAAGCCAGAAGTAGTACTGTAAGACGTGATTTTTAAAGCCTATGTTTTATGCAGGATGCTTATAAATACTGGCATAATGAATGTATGGATTTTGACGTAATAAAAAGATAATAATTGTTGGTAGCAAAATATTAAAATAACAGAAATCTCAATTTAAAAGTAACAAAACTTTGATGTGACCTTCACCATTTTTCTGCATTGTCTCCAATTGCAAAAGCTTAATAGTTGCATGTGAATAGAAATGGACTGTTCTGTGTTCAGGTAACTGTCAGGTTTATTCATCCTTATCAATTTTATTTACTCCCTTTCAGCACACAGGATGTAATGGATTTTTTTAAAGCACTGGGTGGCAAGTCTTTCAGCAAACTCAAGGGAGCTGCTGATTTTTATCTTCTTGGTCATGATGGGGCTCTCCTGAAGTGAAAGAAGACAGTAGCTGGTATTTACTCCCTGTGCTCGGAGCTGATAGTTTCTACTTTTGTGTTCTAGCAGCAGTTACCAGAAATGTGAACAACATTTAATTCCAAAGTTTTAATTTACATTTTGGGTTGTGACACACAGTATTCAAGACTGATGCTGTTTGGACATCAGTGTGCTTGGTATGGTAGGGCCCAGTTTGTTGATGTGAGCCACCAACCTGCATTATTTCTGATCATTTCCACCACCCCTCCTTGGGTACCTTGTTCCCATCAAGTTCAGAGTTGATCCTCTAGGCAAACAGAGGTACTTTTGGCCTGTAGAAAGATCATGTACCTCTTTGCCCACTTCTGTTAGAGCCTCTAACAAAGACAATTATATTGTGGCACCTTTTATGTTGTTATTGGACAGCTCAGCTGGGATTTCCATTCAGTTAGAATTAGTCTGAATAATTAGAAGCAATTTAGTTGTCTTGGGTCTTGTGGCCTAAAGAGAACTTTAAAAATACCCTGATGTTTTGAAGAGAATGTATCAGATCAACATTTCTCAAGTTTGCTTTTAGTTCTTCAGAACCAAGGAGGGCTCTGGTGCCTCAATGCAAGTTTGGTGAAGTTCTTAAACTATGTCCATGGCCAGAATGAAGGTCATCTCTTCTGTAAAGCTGCCATCTCTGTTAACCTTTCTTAAGCAAATTAACATGCACAAGATGAAAATGTTTTTATGCCAGAAAATTTTTTTCATAGTACCAGATTGACTTGGTTAAACAGGGAAATGAACAAATTAAAGAGTATTTCTTCACTGAAAAAAATTTGTAATGGATAGTGATTAGTGAGGTAATTATTTCTCTGTACTTGGCACTGGTGGAACCACACCTTGAGTTCTGTGTTCAGTTTTGGGCACCTTGCTGCAAGGAAGACATTGAGCCCTTGTAGTGTGAAGCTGGTGAGGAGAAGGGCAGTGGAGCTGGTGAGAGGTCTGTAGCACAATTCTTATGAGGAGCAGCTGAGGGAGCTGGGATTTCAGTCTGGAAGAGATCAAGGGGAGACCTCACTGCACTCTACAACTAGCTGAAGGGAGGTTGTGATGAAGTGGGGTTTGGCCTCTTCTCCCAGGTAACAGCAATAGAATGGGAGAGCATGGCTTTAAATTGGCTGGGAAGGTTCAGGTTGGATATTAGGAAAAAATAATTCTCTGAATGAGTGCTCAGGTGCTGGAACAAGAATATCATTGTATCTGAGAAAGAAGATCAGCGTGCACAGGCTGAGGCAGCATGAGCTCTTGGGTATTGCTGAGCAAAGGGGGGTCCAGAGTGTGCACTTCATGCAACTGTGCAAGAGAACAGCAAATCTTCTAGATATTTGGAAATTATGGGGCTCTTAAGAGCCCATCTGTTTTCAATCATACTTCATAGTTTGTTTTGTCACAAGCGACTTACTGCCATTTGCTTTAAAATCACTTCTGAAAACGGAGTGTGGGGCAGTTGTTCTCTCACTAAAACTATGAGATGAAATTGAATGAGCTAAAAAGATTTTCCCTCAGCAGCAACAATCCCGTGTTAACTCCGTGTTTCTGACCAAGCTATCTGTGGAAAGAATGCTGCATATCGGCCTAGAAGATCCAGACCCGGCCCTGCTCCCGGCTCCGCAACATTAATCATACGCTCGGCCTTGCGTGGGGCGCACGGATTGGGAGAGGGGAAGAGGGGGACAGTGGGAGCGCGGGGGCGTGCGCGGGGCGTGCGCGGGGCGTCTCCCGGCTGATCACGCCTCCGCCTCGTGGCCGCGCCGCCAGGAGCCGGCCGGGGCGCTGCCCACGGGCGGCCGATGGACGGGGCGGTCCGGCAGCGGCCCCTCCCACGGGGTGTGAGCGAGAGCAGCCAATCGGCGAGCGGGCGGCGGGGGGTTTATACCGGCGCGGCGGCCCGGGGGCGGCGAGCGGCGGTGGGCGAGCGGCGCCATCATGGAGGGGGGGAGGCAGGTGGCTAACTTCGGCGCTGGGCCGGCCAAGCTGCCGCGCTCTGTGAGTAGGGGCCGGGAGCCGCCAGGTCTGGCGGCGAGGTGGGGGGCGCGCTGGGAGTACCTCGCTTTGGCCGCGCTCCCGGTGTGGCCCTGTGGGGCTACCGCTGCCGAGCGAGGGCCGGGAAGCTGAGACGAAGAGCGATAAAGTCGACCGCGTAGCTCTCCGTTCCTTTATCCCGGCTGCAGTCACAAGTCAGCGTGCCGTGAGCCGCTGCCCCTTCTCCCGGAGCGGCTCCGCCGGCGCTGCAGCGCGGCGTGCTGGCGTTGTCCGGCGCTCAGGCGGCTTCTGTGTGAAGCGCTGGAGTCCCGTCGGTGCGCTGCGTGTTCGTGTCGAGTTTGATGCTTATGAGCTGATAGAGGGCATAGCAACCCGGTGCCATCTCTTCGTTTAAAGAAATGGTAATGAGTGCAGTGCAGACTCAACTCTGTGGGAAGTTGCATCAGCAGCCGTAGATTACACAGTTGCATATGGAGCGAGGGTGTCTCCAGCTGGATCACAGGCATCCGGCTGCCGGCGTAGGGGCGCCGTACCGTGAGAGTTCGTGCTTCTTGTGTTGGTTTCCTCCATAGTTTTCTTACTTATTTTCTATGTTTTTTCTTTACCAGTTTTACTAGGTAAATCAGCTTGCTTTACAGCGATTTTATTTACGAGCTTCCTCCTGGAAACATCCCCTATAGACCACACTGCAAGGACATTGATTGCTCCATATGGTAGAGCTGCTTGTTCCAAAAGGAGCTCTTGCCGTGACTGCAGCAACTTTGGTCATGCTGTCACAGTTAACTGGGTGTTTGAGGAGGGCCCTGCTGTGCTCCAAGCTGCTGGTCACTTAAGCACCTTCAAAAACACAGCAGCAGGAATGGGCTGTGCTGCCACAGTTGTTTCATGTTGTTTGATTTTGAGGTGATGCTGCATGCAGGGTGCTCAGACTGTCTGAAGACTGAGCTCTTCATGCCTTCTAGGAAGAGCCTTAAGTGTTGATAGTGAGGCGTGTGCAGCTTCTCAGATAAAGCTACTAACAGAACTGGATTCTACACAGCAGTTTAACAAGCCCTTTCTGATGCTCTGCAAGTTCGCTCTAACTTATTAAACTTATTTGGCATCGGTATGTTCATAGCGTGAAAAACATTTGTTAAAATATTGTGATCTTGGAGATGAAAAGCAGCACGCTATTCATGGTTGAACTGCAGGTGACCAGCTTTACAGCTGACAGATCACACAAATGCCCTGTCAGCAAAGCTCCTGCAGCTGCCTGAAGCATGTGGTGTCTTGGCAGACCCCGAGATGTGCACATACAGCAGTTGCTCTGGAGGTTTTTCTACTGGATTTCCATCTCCTGCATCTATTTGGAGGGGCTAAGAAAGGTTTGCCTCTCATGCAGGAATTCACTGAAACCAGAAGTAATGATGAAACAGATGGTTAGGATCTAATTCTGCTTTGTTGATATGTAAGAGCTATGAGAGAAAGGCAAATTAAAAGCTTGAAGCAGCAGATCAGCTTGCCAAGGCTGCTAAAAGTAACCTGATTTTTGTTGCCTCAGAGTTTTCATTTAATTCTTTTCTTAACTTTCAGTAACAGATAACATGCATCTTTAGGAAGTGCAGGACTTTGTTCTATGAAACCAGGCCTTGTGGCATTGAATCACCGTGAGGTATCAAGTGCTGCATGCTCTTTTTTGATTATTCTTTCGATATCTCAGTTAGCCTATTTGTGGGAGGTGAGTGAAAGAACACAAGATGGGGGAAATAAGAATAGAAAAAACATGTTTCTGAACATTAAGCCTTCTATAAGCATTTAGGAGTTCCACTCAGCACTTGAAAGTCATTCTAAAGTAATCTGGAAGTGCAGCTATTGAAATAATGACTTGAAATGTGAAGTCTCTACATGAAGCATAGGATTTAATTATGCTATTTTAAGACAAGCCTTCAGCTACTAGATAAAATGAAATTACATGGAGCCTATTATTTTGTTAATTTCCTTAGAGAAGTGTTAGGCTACTGCACTATGGAGCAGCTGGTATATGTATGATACATTAGGGATTCCACATAGTAGAAAATTCTCAATTTATTTGTGGATTTTTATTTTTTTTTTTTTGTTTGTTTGTTTTGTTAGGTATTATTAGCAGCACAAAAAGAATTGGTGGACTACAAAGGACTTGGCATTAGTGTTCTTGGTAAGTAAGACTTTCAAATTTTTGTATGATTTTCGGAGTGTAGATTCTTAATTCAATTTCTTAAAAAAGAAAAAAAGGCTTCTGCTATTGATATTTGCAACTGAATACCTCATTTTCTTGTGTAACAGCTTGTAATACTTTGTTTGGTTATGTTTGGTTATGTCCTTTTGTAAACTGCTGTTCTTTCCTTGCTTTTTATTCATTCAAGGGATCATAAAACGATCCACAGGTTGCTGTTTACTAATCCAACATAAAGCACTATGGATGAAAGTAACTAATCATAGAATGGTTTGGGTTGGAAGGGACCTTTAAGATCATCTTGTTCCAACCCCCGTGCTTAGGCAGGGCAGCTCCACTTGACCAGGATGCTCAATGTCCCATCAAGCCAGGCCTTGAATGCCTTCAGGGAGGGGGCATCCATAACCTCTCTGGGCAACCTGTACCACTGTCTTACCAGCCTCAGAGTGAAGAATTTCTTCTTGATTTCTTGTCTAAATCTACCTCCTTCCAGTTTAAAATTGTTTCCCCTTGTCCTGTTGCTACATGCCCTTGTAAAATGTCCCTGCCCAGCTATCCTGTAGACAACCTTCAGATACTGGGAGGCTACTATAAGGTCCCTCAAAGCCTGCTCTTCTCCAGGCTGAACAGCTCCAGCTCTCTCAACCTAATTAATCATAATTAAAGCCCTATTATTTCTGGATCTTTAAGAAATTACCTGTGTTTTTATTTACCTAAAATGCTATATGTGGATATACACATACTGTGCACTTGTATGTCTGCACTCGTTATCTCATGTACCACCTGGCAAAACAGTTCAGATGTATTTGATGTCTAGTGTCCTTTCCTTTAGGAAGTCTGTGCTATTCAGACAGAAAGATGAGGTGCTTTATGTTACTTGCATGGCTGAGTCATTATTCAGTCCCAGAGGCATAAAACATTTAAGAGCAAACATGCCCAACATTTTACTACCCCCTCTGAAATTTTTCATTGCTAAATTTATCATATACAGCAGTCTCTTTGGGGTACAGATTTGTGTTAAAATTGTTTGCTCTTCTAGACAGAAGGAAGACTGTGGTTTAATAAAAGAAATTAAAATTCAGTAGCCTGAAGTTCTAATTTGGACTACTGCATTATTAAGTTTTTTGTGAAATAAGATATTAAGACAACCCCCTGTACTGGTTTAGCAGGTATAGAGTAAAGTAATAACTAAGGATGTTTTTAGAGTGAAGAAATTTACACCTTCCTAGGGAAAGTTTTTATATGCCTGCTTTTTTTTTTTTTTTTTTTTTGGGGGGGGGTTGAGGGGAGAGGGAAAGGGGAGAGGGGGAGGAGTAGTTAGGTCATGTGGCTGCCAAATATTAGTGGGGAGGATTTGCACAGAATCGAACACAATCTGAAAAGTAAGGGTTTTGTGGGCATTTGGAAGGGCTCAACAAAAACAGGAGTTGGAACTGGGAACGGAAGCCTTTGGGTATTGGGTCTGTGAGTGTAAAAATGTTAAAGCTTAGCACAATTGGTAAAATCACATTCATAGTTGTCTGTCTTGTTCCATGCTATGCTTTTTTTTCCGCTACCGTAGAAATGAGCCATCGGACCTCGGATTTCTCAAAAATTTTAAATACAGCTGAAAATCTCTTGCGTGAATTACTGTAAGTGAACTATTTCCTGTTTTTAAATTAAACTTGTGATAGTTGCACTAAAATTGCCAAATGTGGAGACTTTTCCTTGAAGGTTCCTAGTTTGTTTAGATAGGCATCTGATTAAGTAATGGAGAGGATATCGGTCTTCCACTTGCCTAGTTCTTAAGAAATCTGTTTTAAGAAATAAGTGGAAATAACAGAAATATGTTCTCTGATGGCATGCAGGTGATCTGTATATTGCTGATTCATACATTACCTTATTTTACTAACATAATATTTATAAGAAATAACTGGTCAGGAGCCCCTTTCTTACATGTGCTGTAATGCTTAAAAAAGTTTCAAGTAGAAAATTTTTAGATCATGGATTAGGGTTAATGTTTTTATATCATGCATTAGAATTAGTGTACTATTCTCACAGTAGTTTTATATGAAAGGACCATACTTTGTTTTTTAAAGCTTGACTCCTTGTCACAGCCAGTGTGAGTAGTTCGAACAAGTAATTTTTGTGATGATGTAAATAGCTCCTCCACATGCTCCGCATGTACAATGTACTGTGCAGTTGCATGTGCAAATTAAGAGTCTAAAAACTGAATTGTGCTTCGAGAACTTTGTTGTGAAGCCATCTCAATTCAGAAATGTCGTGAAGCTTTTAAGAGACAAAACTTCAAGTGAGCATTAGCTCTGCTGGAATACTGTTTGAGCCTGTGTGCTGTGATAGAAGCTTCTCAGGAATGAATTTGCTTATAGTTTGGGTCAAAATTTGCTTATTTCCAGTAAACGTTTTTAAATCCAATATAGCACTGTTCCTACTGTTTAGGTTCTTATTCGACCGGCTTTGAGGTAAGTTGGCAGGATTTGGTTTAACCTCTGAAAGACATCTACTGAAATAGCAGTACTCCTTCTCTGTAGGTTTGCAGTCAAATGTATGTAAGTGGTATGTGTCCTTTGTCTTTTGAGAATAAAATATGGTAATTTCTTGCTTGCAGAATTATACCAGAAAACTACAAAGTTATTTTCCTCCAAGGAGGTGGATCTGGTCAGTTCAGTGCAGTCCCACTAAACCTGATTGGCTTAAAGGAGGGTAGACAGGCGGATTATGTGGTTACTGGAGCTTGGTCAGCAAAAGCTGCTAAAGAAGCAGAGAAGTATGCCAAAGTGAATATTGTTCATCCGAAACTATCAGCCTATACAAGTAAGTTGATGATTACACATATTGATGTGAATGCTTGCTTTTCTGAATTGCTATAAAAATTGGCCTGTCTCAGCTATTGTGTTATTGAGCATTAACTAGTTAAATGGTTGACTGGCCAGGACTCAAAAACTGTCTGCTGCATGTCTCCACATCCATGACTAGGAGATTGGTTAGGTAGCCTAGTGGCCTCCACCAGGCAAGCATTCTGAGGTGAGAATGACCGGGTTCCAGAACTTGAGCGGTAGGAAGAAGACAGGGAAATTATGTGGGCTGTCTGAATAATTTTATTTTTTAACTTAGATTTTAAGGTATTTGCAGGTATATGCTGAAGTAATTCAATTTCTTATGCATTCAGTAATAAATTATTATGAAATTAAGAAATATATTTGGCATCTTACGTGTACTGGCCCAGGAGATGGGTGATGGGTGCTTTCTTTTATGGTCTTTCAGGGGTTCCCAAACACTCATCTCCTGACCATTTGTTAGTTAGCTCTGAAATAGGAAAGGCACTTCTAACTTCATCTCATAGAGCGTATGGACATGACATAATTTTAATGACCACTGTGTACAAAGAAGAGAGGTTATGTGTAACTTTTTTGTTAGAAAATCTGTTTCAGGACATTTTACATGTATGCTTTAAGTGGTCACTGGTTATAAATAAATAATTATTGGACTAGGGATATCTAAATTCTTCTGTTAATTGTGCTTTTATTTCTTTTCTCTGGTCTGTGATACACAATTTAAAGTCAAAAGAGTGGCAGCAGGGAAGACAAAGAATATTCCCCAAACCAGTTGGTGCCCCGATTACCATTTATATAATCTTCCAGGTTAATAAATCCTCTAAGACACAGGAATTATTTAAACCAATGACTTATTATAGGGGAATGTATTTGGCAGCTATAATTAAAGTAAGAGGGAATAAACAATGGGAGAGGCAATAGCAGCATTTATTCCCCGCATCTTTTGGAGAAGAGGAGAAGAGAGGGAAACCCATTTGTTCTATGCAAAATCTGTTCTGTTTGGGCTTGCCAGTGTATGGCCTATTGACTGAGGCTAATTTTAATTTTGTAGATCCCTTATAAGGTTTAGATAGGAGACAGCTGAACACATACTTACTTTGAGAGGTCTAAAAATGCTTCTAGAGGTTCGTGTAAACAGAGATTCCAGTAACTTTACCAGTAAGAATTTGGATGCTTCAGTAGTTTCAAAGACATGTAGAAGATTCCGCCTGATGAAGATTCCTTAAGGAAAAAGGACTGAAAGTCAGATGAATGTTTGTAAGCCTGATGATGGCCCACCACAGAATACTGGGGATGTACTGATATATTTCTTCTGTGGATACCTTACCAGGAAGCTACAATGCAGCTTTTCATTTCAGGCTGCAAAATCATTCTGGGTTTATACTTGAGGGTCTAGCCTTAAAATAAAACTGCGTGCCAGGAAAATTACATCTGTGTAGTGACCTTTGATATTCTTTTTGTCTGTCTTAGACATTCCTGACCCAGGCACTTGGAATCTCAATCCAGATGCATCGTATGTGTACTACTGTGCTAATGAGACTGTTCATGGTGTGGAGTTTGACTTTGTACCCGATGTCAAAGGAGCAGTCTTGGTTTGTGATATGTCATCAAATTTCCTGTCGAGGCCTGTGGATATTTCCAAGGTACAGTGCAGTTAAGGAGGGGGTGAAGGATGGAAGGAGTAGGACTCAGGAGAAGTGGGATTTACTAGTACTTTCATCTTCAACTGTTTTTGTTTTTTTTTTCCTGTTTTGCTTTCCCTTGAGCAGGTGGATTATATGATGCCTCTCATGAAATACCAAACTGATTGAAAATAGTTTTGTCTACATGTTTTTCGCAGATTTTGCTTGCAGTAGTGTGCAAATGGGGACAAGTTGCCTTGAGAATCATTTGTGACTATTAAGTATTTGGCAAATTACTGGAAAACCTGTTGAATGAAGATATACATGGGATAACAATTATAGCTGGAAGCACACCTTGAAATTAGAACTTCTGCTGGCATGTCCTTGACCAACTTACTTATGACATGTTCTCCAAACTGTTCAGTTGTATAATTCCATATAAAAATACTGGTTTCTTATTCAGTTAATTGATGTATGTTGTGATCCCTTCCTTTCTTTCTGTCAGTTTGGTGTGATTTTTGCTGGTGCTCAGAAGAATGTTGGCTGTGCTGGAGTTACTGTTGTAATAGTACGTGAGGACTTGCTGGGATTTGCACTGAAGGAATGCCCTGTAGTGATGGATTACAAAACACAAGCAGCGAATGGCTCTTTATATAACACTCCTCCATGCTACAGGTAACTTATCCAGCTTTTTAATATCTGTTATTCAGGAAGTTTCTGCATTACCATCTGCTATGCTTAGTGGAAAAAAAAGTTTCAGAACAGAGAGTTGCTTGTCTTCAAGTAACTGATCTGCTAAAGGATTTCATGTGATTTTGCTGAAAATATTTGAAATGATTGTAGTAGGCCTTGCTGCCCAATGAATGGGACTTGGACATAAAGGATGTAATATTTTTAGAATTAAAGACTGTGTGCCATAATTTCATCATTGAATTTCAGGATCTAGTTCTTTGGCTTAAACAAACATGACTCGAGCTGCTACAATACTAATGCTTCTAAGACTGTGAGTAGGTAACTGGGGCATTTAGTCTTGCTGCTTGAGCACTCATTAGACTTCATTTAATTTCTACCTGAAACCACTGTCAGCAATTAAACCTTCATATCCATTTCTGCCTTCATGCTAGGAAATAATAAATGGTGTCATCATTACTAAATGTTTTTAAAATATGAAATTTGAGATATATTTTAAAATTTCTTGGAACATTTCTAGTTTGAACTAAACCATTCACTGCAATGAGTTTTGAAATGAAACCAGAGAAAAGTTTTAAAAAGAGTGGTGTAGTCATTGCTTTCCCTTCTTTTCTAGTAAGACTTTCCATATTTCTTTAGGTACTACCTCAGTGCTTGGCTTGGGATTAAAAGATAAAATTGGTCAATCTTTGTAATTATTGGTAGCAGTCAAGGTAATAAAGTAGTCATGTTATCAGGGAATTCATGTACGCATGAGGTAAAACAGACTATAGCTTGCTTTTTTAAAAGCAGTGTCTCTCATCTTCTGATACCTAGTTAGATGATACCTTGCTAAGGAATGCTTAGGCATTAAATTAGTAATATTTAGCCCTACTTAATATGGCACTTCTAAACTGAAATAATTAAAAATACTATACCAATGCCAACTAAAACAGCTGCTTTTTAAAAAATAAAATCTTAAGTTAGAAACTTCCTTTCCTAAAAAGTATTTTTGCAATATGTCAAAAAATAACTTCTTTTTTTCAAAGTTTGCATCATCTCTTATCAACAGGAAATTCTGTTTCATGCTGACATTGTTTAACTGCAGTTCTTAGACTCCATTTAGTACAAGCCATAGTTTGTGAAGTTACAGTACCTAATGATATCCAGCAGATTTCATGTACACTGTATCAAAATGAGTTACAATGATTCCTGCACATAAAGTCTACCTTAATACCTTTATAATTTAAATTCAGTAGAATTTTGAGATACAGATTACGTTACTGAATCTATGTTTCTCATAGTGTGGCGCGTAAGGTGTGTATTAGTGGAAAGGCATAGACGTATAGTTGATCTTAATTTATCAAAAGGAAAAGTAAATCCTGTACCTATATGTTTATTTCATATTCTGTTGCATAACTGGAATTTTCCAAAGCAATATGGCCACTGTAGAGTGGGTAGTACTGTAATGATGTGCTCCTGCAGCCATCTGAAGACTGCCTTACTGACTAAGCATAGCCGCTATCATTAGGATTTGCATTTAAGAGAAAAATTAACCTAAATTTGCCAGATTATTCTCTTCCTCTCTGCAGTACACAGGCAGTATGAGCACTTTCTTCAACAACTGATAAAGCCTCTCTCTTGTAATTGATTATTTTCTGACTGCCAAGTCATGCATACCGTTTTGGACACTGTGTGCTTGCATTGCACATGCTGGGTTTCAAATCCAGCCATTCATGTTTTCCAAGTGCAAAGCTATTTCCATTTAAAGAAACAAAGTTCTCAACACTTCAGCAGTGCTGCTTCTCTGATTTGAAAAGAAAAACCAAAATTAAGTTTTGCAGTCTTTTATTTAATTTTAACCACTGTGAATAAATTCTGAAAAGCAAATGCAGCTTCAGCTGTAATTCAGTGTCTTTCAAGAACACTAATAGAATAGTGGAGAACTAAAAGAATGGAAAATAAAGTTGGTCTAACAACCTTTCTCCTTTCTGACTGCTGCCTTGCTTTATTTCACTTGATGCTGCAGACTCAAGGTGGAGTGTGCTCCAGAATCCAAAATGTAACGCAGACAGAAATGTTGGCATGGTGTTTGTCTATTTGGCTTGGTTCTAAGTGCCTGTTCCAGTTTTTATAAGGAACTGGCAAAACTTCTTAACTTTTTTTTCCTCTCTTCTTTTCCTTGCACTCTCTTAGGGTTTGTGGCAAACAGGCAGGAAATATTAACAGAATATACAGCAGCTATTTCAGCAGGATGATAAGTTAAATTTAAAGGATGCCAATGGATTTAACATTTTGGTGCTACAGCGCTTAACTCTTTGACCCTGATCTACTTTGCTAAAATCTGCAATGCGTTTCCTATTTAAAAAAAAGACTAATTTCAAGCTACAAGGGTTTGTTTAGCATTTAAAATTGCTCCTGAAACATTATTTTGGCTGACATGTAACATGGATTAAGGGTTTAATCTGGCTGACCTTTGTGGATGATTCCAGGCCTAACTTCTTTAAACATTACTTGTCCAAAATTTTCACTTGAGGAAATGAAAGCACGAGATGAATGTGGCCCTGTGTACCTGTCAGGAGTCTAGGCAATTCTTCATTTAATGGGGCTGTTGGCAGCCTGCTGTCATAAATGTAGCAAGGCTGTGCTCTCAAATCTATAAGGTGTATTTGTAAAAGGCAATCTGTAACCTGATTTATTCTACAGTCTTTCTGAAGTGTTCTAAGATTTGAGAATAGCATCCCCTGAGAAATTGGAAGGAGTGAAGTTTAAAACAAACTCCTGTTAGACTTGTGTTAGGGGAACTTGCAGGGTAATGTTCTCTGAGTACTCCCTTGGAATCTGTAATGAAGGGATAAAATAAAAACAAATCTGTTGGAAAGGTGCCATAAAAACTTGTGAACAGTTTATTAATGCAAAATGTTGTAGTTGTGGGAAATGTCTGAACTTGAACAAGCTGAGTTTTATAGCAAAAGCACAAAGGCAAAAGGCCTTGGGGACTTTTTTTTTTTTTTTTTTTTTTTATGTTGCTCTGTGTAACTGGCATTGAAATACTTGGTCTCTAGACGTGATTTCAGTAGGCTTCCAGGACCCTGCTTAAACTTCAATGGTAATGAATAACTAAGTGCAATACATTAATTATTTGTTTCGTCAAACATCACTGTTCAGGAGGGAAAAATGATCTTTTTAGACAGAAATGGGATTGTAGGTTTATTCTTAACAGTTGTGAAAACATGATTAGATTTCTGGCATTCTTACTTCATGTAGATTTGAGGTTTGTTCTTACGTCTTGAGTAGAGCAGCTGTACAGGTCTCATACTGTAACAAATACCTTAAAAATAAATACAACATTTCACAGTTAAAACTTTAATGTACTATTATTCATGACTGTTTTTGTTTTTTCAGTCAGATAAAAAGAAACAACAAATATTTTCTTTTGTTGCAGTATCTATATCATGGGACTGGTGCTGGAGTGGATAAAGAACAATGGTGGAGCTGCAGCCATGGACAAACTTAGTTTAATCAAATCACAAATGATTTATGATATTATAGATAGGTCTAATGGATTCTATGTGTAAGTTGTGTGTTTTCCCCTTGCTTTAAAAATGTATTGTGCAGCTAAAGTTAAAGCATAACTTCAAGTTCATTTTTAAGTTACTTTTTCAATATACTGAAATTGAGGAGTCCTGAAATCCTAGAGATTATTTATGCAAATAATTCACTTGGTAACTCTCCAAGGGTGAGTTTTGTTCCAGTAGGATGTTATTTCCTATTATCCTATACAAATCACTTGAGAAGCCCTTAGTAAAACACAGGAGCCTAGGAGACGTGTACTGAAAGCAGGTTGCAACTATTTAGTATGCTTACTGCATTTTTGAGAATTACAGGCCAAAACCGAAAAGGTGGCTGGTAAGAAGCTGGTAAGAGGAGTTCTGCATCATCTCCTTTCTAACCATCTCTCCAGAAATCAAAACCTCTACTTTTTTTTTTTTCTTTCTTTTTTTTTTTTTTTTTTAGTACACTCAGGAAGAGTATCTGTATTAATTGTAGTCAGTTTTGTAACACTTGCTGAATTAGTCAGAATGTAATCTGTGCATAAAAATCTGTGCATAAAGAAAGTATTTTGTTTTCAGCTGTTTTTGATGTTATTTAAAAACAGATTTGACAGTTTGTGTATGGATGCAAGGCTTTTTTCCTTGGACAGGACCCAAAATGTGTAGTTAAATCTTGGTGTTGTAAAAAGCAACAATGGTTTCAATACCCATAAGTTCAAAAACTGTCAAATGACAGACTGCAAAATATTTTCCTTTGCCTTCAGTATATAGTCAAAATTTGGGACCTAAATAACTTTAGAGTCAAAGTTAGGATAGAGAAATTAAATTTAGATTTTAAATTTAAGTTGGCCTCAACCTTAATTGGCAAAGATATAGTTCATAATATTCAATGCATTCTGCTGATCCATTTTCATGATGGGAGCAACTTTGCCTTTGGCATTGCAATGATTAGAATTGTGATCCTACTTTATTAAAACCCTGAGGGCTTTTTCATAAAACGGTGAGCAAATCAAGCTTTGAAAAAACATTTTATGGCAAATAAAAAATCTTTGTTTTTGGCAAGTGGGCCTATGGGACTTGATAGGCAAATCCAGTGCAAGTAGGATGGTGAACTGGCAAATAAGGAAAGCAAAGAAAACTTCATTAAGTGATCTGTATGCATCTTGCATAGCAACACAGTTCAAGTCATTTTTTTAGTCACAGATCCATTCTTATCCATTCTAATTTGAAGCTGCCTTCCTAGTTGTAATGTACCACCCATCCATGGCATGCTTCACTGAGCAAGAGGTGTGACAAGCTTTTTGTGAATCGAGACTGTTCCACAAAGTGCTGTGTGCCATTTGCAGTTTGTTGCTTTCTAAAGACTCTGCACTACAGCTTGAGTTGTGTTAGATTGCCTGAATGGAAATGGGTCATCTTACATGGAGCATATATATATATATCCAAATGTGAGAATCCTTACAAGCATAGGCCTTTTGAAAGAGTGCTTTCCTGGTTACAGATGGCACAGAGAACTTACATATGTTAATATTATGATTAGTTACTACTTAATCTGCACAAAGGAACCAATGGAGAACTCAACACCCCTGCTGCATACAAAAAACAGTCCAACCTAAACTCAACCCACAACCGTGTCAAAAATAGAATAATAAAAAATATTTCCTTGTGAATGTATGCAATGTATGCAAGAATTTACATCACAATTTTGGAGAATACTGTGGCTTTGTATCTCTTTTGTAACCAGAAGCACTAAGGACAAGTATTTAAATATTAAATGCTTCCCTCCATTTTCCCCTTACGTTTTGCCCTGCCATGTTTTTTCTGTCCACAATAATTACAAATGAAACAGAATCCATAAAACAAACACAGATTAGAAAAAAATGAAGAGTAATTTTGCTTTAAATGCATCTTAAATCTTCTGCTTTAGATTAAAGGAAAATGTTGTGGCCACGTATGTAATGTAAAATTTGTTCTAGAGATCACTCTCCTCTCTGTGTTCATGATTCTTAATAACACCAAATAAGACATTGATAAGAGGGACTGAAACTACTAATTAAAGTCTCCAGTGGAAGCTTCCTTATACTGTGGTGGTTTGTTTGTTTGTTTTACCTCTGTTTAGATGGGTCGAACTCAATTCTAGTAGCAGTTGTGGCCAGCAGAATAGAAATATCTGTCAGAGACAATTTTGGGTATGTCAGAAAGGCCTTCCACTTCTTATTACCATAATTATACTTTGAAAAGAGGATTTTTGCTTTCTTTCACAGAAAGTAATGATTGCTTTAGTTACGGAGCAATGACTTTTGAGCTGGATGCAATTATTCACTTTCTGAAATTGTTTGTAATGGAAAATGTAAATTTAGCAAAAAGCAGGATAATCATTAATTTTGCAACTTTTCTAGATGTCCAGTGGAGAAGAAGAACCGAAGCAGAATGAACGTCCCCTTCCGCATTGGCAGCATCAAGGGTGATGAAGTCCTGGAAAAGAAATTCCTTGAGAAAGCTGTGGAACTTAACATGATATCTCTGAAAGGACATCGGTAAGTGCTGCGTTGAGATGAATCCCCTTGCTGTGCAGAATAAAAAATTATTACAGCGATACAGCAGCAGGCGTTGTGTATTGACTTACCAGCATTTCTTGCTTACAAGCTGTTCTTCATATTGGTTTGGGAGCACTGGGAATTGCAGTCTTGAGACTGTAATTAAAAACCGGTGGTGAATCAACTGTAGTTTAGGTGTGATGGGGCACAGCTTTCTTGTTAATTCTGCCTTCTCTCAACTTGATTAACCTTTCTTGTCTCTGTTCAAATGCCAAAGAAGGTGACATTTTGTCAAATTCTGTCATTGCGTAAAGTCTCCATTACATTACTTATCTAGCTGATGGAAAGAATTCCTTCCCGTGTTACAGTGGTATTTGTGGAGTTAAAAAAGTTAGATTTTTTTTGATGTCATAAGGCTACAGTGTAAAGCTATAACAACAAATACTAAGTTGCTTTAGATTGCCTGCTTACCTTGAGTAAAATTTTGCCTCTCATTCATATAAAATATGAATTTCTTTCTGTTCAGTTGGGGAAAAGTAACTGTAAATGATATTTGTCTTTTCTTGGCATATACAAAACTTTTTTTTTTTTTTTCTCTCCTGTTTTCAATTCAGATCTGTGGGAGGAATCCGTGCCTCTTTGTATAATGCAGTGACTGTAGAAGATGTTCAGAAGCTTGCAACATTCATGAGAAGCTTCATGCAGATGCATCAGTCATAAATGCACATGTGTTAGAGCCATGCTGCATGTCTATCAAATAAAAGCTAAAGTGTTTGGAAATCACTGTGCTTGTGCACAGACATAGCGCACAAATTACATATTCTTGTACTTCCAGTAGCTATTTTAGTTATCTGCATGGAATTAAGGCCTTCCAGGGGCTTGGCAGTCTTGGCTCCTATCTGAAGATGAAGAGTATTAGACTGATCAAGATTGGAACCAAAATTTGCAAAGCAACAGTCTTAATGTATAGTTAAAGCATTGTGAGATGCTATGGATCTCAGTTCTGACCATAGACATGTCACTACAATGCTCAGTTGAAACTAGTCGTTCTTTAATTATACATAAACGCAGAATAGGAATCAGTACTGCTTTTTGGAAAAAAAAATCTCAGCTGTCTCTTGTTGCTAGTTAGAAAATGACTTCTTCAAATATACCTTGTTATCAGTAAATTCCTAAAGGCAGAATTTCTTACAAGTTTTCTATAGAGCTTTACACAGACTATACGACTGAACAGTGAGTGGCAAACTAACATTAAGTGTTCTCTAAGGGTGTCTAGTTAGTTTATCAGTTGTTTCAGTAATAGTTTTCAGGAGTCAATATCTAGTTTCTGAACTTCAGGCCACTGTGTTCAAAACTTTGTTTCCCTGCATGAGTTTTTAGGACAGTCCCATGCAGTAGTACACACTAGTGACTGGGTCTTTTTTTTTGGTATTTCTATTTACTGGTTGAGACCTAAGATGCATGGACTTAGAATTAAATTAGTATATAATATGAACTGCATAGAGTTCATATTATAAAATAAGTTTCATAAGAGAAACTTATTTTAAACTTCAGTTTATTAACTTTGTATTCTTATACTGGAGTGTGAGTATTGCTGCTCCTACCAAAAACCTGCTTTAATTTGCTACCCTTGTGCCAATTTGGATTGCTGTATTCCACTCTATGAATCTGTGACTTTCTCTGCACTGACTTCTTAGTCCAAAGTGTCTTTCCTCTCTAAGTATTTTCTTTGCCTTCTCGTTGCTTCAGTTCTGTCAGCTTTTGTATGTGGGATTCTGCCCAGCTGCTGTAAGTCTTGACTTCTGATTATTCCTGACAATACATCACACTTTAGGTCTGTTTTTCTTACTTGAATCTTATGGCTTATTCCAGACTTTGATACTCTGGGGTAGGGGAGGAACTATGTTAATGCAAAGATCTTCAGAAGATCTTCTATGTAATACCCTACTTGGGTTACTTTTCCTTCTTGGCCTGTGAATTTGGTGCCAATTAATGTATTTTGATACTGGCTTCCTATTTTAAATTACATAAACGCTCTCTGATCCTATTATAACATTCAGTGTTACTGCAACTGATTTCAGACTGCTGTGTTTCTGGTAAAGAACTGAGTCTTTTTGTTTTATGTAACACTAATACAGTAGTAATAATCTAATAATATCAATGATGGACTGCTCCTTTTCTTGTGAAATCTCACAGCAAATAAGGGGATAGGGGCAAGGGGTGACTTCCTCTTGTCATCATTTTATGACTGCTGTTAGGAGATGTTTATCAATGTAATGTAACTCAAAATAATTAAATAAAGTTGGTGAAGAAAATAAAACGTTTCACAGCATGCTGTGAAGCACAGTGTGTTTGAAGCTTTTTGTGGCAAAAGGGTGAGAACTCCATGCCTAGTATGTGTTAGAATTTTAGACTCCAGTATCATCCTTTTTCCTTATTAATGTTTCCCTCACCTATTATTTTTCTGAAAATATTTCCTACAATTACCATGGAAAAAAAGACTGCACAATAGGCTTAAAGGATGCTTTTCATGCCATTCATGAAGATTTAACTCAAGTCTTATATTAAAGCTATTTAACATTTAATTAGAATTCAGTTTCCTACAGAGTTCTGTAGACTTATTTTCAACGTTAACTGTGACTTGAAAGTTAATAAATGATTCTTTGCTTCAAAAGCCTCTGAGCCTCCTATTCTGTAGAGTTTCCTGTGTGGTGACAAAAAAAAAAAAAAAAAAGGAAAAAAAGAAAGGCTAAAATGGCTGTATGTGGCTGATCCATTGACCCAAAGGAGAACCTCTTTGCTTCTTCTGAATTGTGTTGAACATTTTGGCAATTTTTTTTTTTTTAAATCACATGGGCAGACATTGTGGAAAAGCAAAATGTGGTGTTTATGATTTCACAAAAGGAGTTGCTAGCATTCTATTTAGTTTGTAATATAAAAGTCCCTAGTCTAAGGAGGGAGGAGGGTGGGTGGGAAAAGGGAAAAATGAAAAAAGCACACGATACCCAAAGAGGAACCTAGGTAAGAATATTTGAGTGAATTGGACATCATGAGGCCCCATACTGCATCCAAGCCTAAAGCCTCCAATACAAGAAGGATGTGGAGCACTTGGAGTGGATCCAGAGGAGGGCCACTAAGATGATCAGAGGCTGGAGCACCTCTCCTATGAAGAAAGGTAGAGGGAACTGGGGTTGTTCAGCTGGAAAAAGAGAAAGCGCCAGAGAGACCGCATTGTGGCCTTCCAGTACTTGAAGGGAGCATATAAACAGGAGGGGGAACGGCTGTTTATGAGCATGGATAGTGATTGGACAATGGGGAATGGTTTTAAACTGAGACAGGGGAGGTTTAGGTTAGATATTAGGAGGAAGTTTTTCACACAGAGGTGGTGATGCATTGGAACAGGTTGCTCTAAGATGTTGTGGATGCCCCATCCCTGGAGGCATTCAAGGCCAGGCTGGATGTGGCTCTGGGCAGCCTGGTCTGCTGGTTGGCGACCCTGCACATAGCAAGGGGGTTGGAGCTAGATTATCATTGTGGTCCTTTTCAACCCAGGCCATTCTATGATTCTGTGATTTGCAAGTTCACCTGTGAGTGCTGCAGAACATGGCTGATGTCATTAGGATGTCCCTCTATTATTGTTGCTTGACTGTGAAAACTAGAAGTGCCTGAAGACTGGATGAGAATAAAAGTCATAAAAAAGGGCAAGGAGGACCCAGTGAGCTACAGGTAGTCAGCCTTGCCTGAATCTTGGGAAGAGGATGGAAAGCTCATACTAAAAACCATTTATAGGCGCATGAAGCAAAAGAAATTCATTGGTAGTTAGCAGGGACTCACCAATAGGAAATCATGCCTGACTGAGCTGGTGGATCCTGGGAACTCGTGAGTATTGTCCTCCTGAACTTCACTAAAGTTTTCAACCTCGTCTGCTGTAGGGTTCCTCTAGAGAAGCTGATGAGGTATGATAAGCATATAGTGAGGTGGATCAAAAGCTGGCTGAACTGCTGCACCCATGGGTGGTGATCAGTGTTGCGAAGTTTAATCAGAGGCCAGTAATAAGGGGTGTACCCCAGGAATGATACTGGATTGAGTCCTGTTTAATGTCTTTGTTAATGTTCTGAATTTGGGGTTAGAATGCTCCCTCAGCAAATTTGTGGATGGCATGAGACTGGAGAAGGGACTGGTGCACCAGAGAGCAATGCTGCCATCCAGACAGACCTTGACAGGCTGGAAAAGGGGGCTGACAAGAATCTCTCTGTGTTCAGCTAGGAGAATGTCCTCTACTTGGGGAGGAATGGTCTCATGTACATGTATTTGGCTCGGGACCACCTCACTACAAAGTGGCTCTGCAGAAAAGGCCCGAGAGTCCTGGTGGCCACCAAGTGTGAGCCAGCAGTGTACAAGCAGGCTAATAGTATTCTTGGCTGCTTTAGCAGAGCATTGCCAGCGGGTTAAGAGAGGTGATTCTTCCCCTAAATGCTGGTGAAACCACACCTACAGTTCATGTCCAGTTCTGGTACAAGAGAGTCATGGCCTTGCTGGAATAAGTCCAGAAGAGAGCCACCAAGGTGATGAAGAGACTAAAGCACCTCTCCTTTGAGGAGAGGCTGGGAGAGCTGGGGCTTTTCAGCCTGGAAGAGTCTCAAGACCTATAAATACCCAAAGGGAAATATGCAAAGGAGATGGAGACAGGACAAGTGGTAGTGAGCACAAACTGGAAAACAGGAGGCTCTTTCTGAGCACCAGGAAGCATTTCTGTGCTGTCAGGACGATGGAGAACTAGCACAGGCTGCCCAGAGACTGGGGGGGGTTTCCTGCTTGGAGATAGCCAAAGGCTGCCTCTGACATGGGCCGGGGCACCAGTCCTGCTCAAGCAATGGGGTTGAGTCTGATGGACTCAGAGGACCCTGCTAACTCAATGAGTCTGTGATTTCCATAGCACAACTGTTGTACTATCTCCAAGACTAGCACAAAATAATGAAATAAGAATTAGAAGCAAGTTTGGCATGTCCTTATTTGTCTAGATAATCCTATTGGAAGAAAATTATTTATACGAACAGTGATGCGGAGAGTGCTGCTCCATTGTCAGCTGGCACTTTGCATGTTCATATTTTTCTTGTTTGTGCTTAAATTAAATTTTGTTTTTCTTCTCAAAGTGAAAGTGGCTTAACATTTTAAGATGTACCAGGAGAATATGCTTGGTTGTAAAAAATTTACGCCTCTTTCTGGCTTTGAAGTAAATGTTTGGAGTGAAACAGAAATAAAAATTAAATACGTTTCAGAAGCTGATAGACTGGAAATTGTTAATGTATGCTGAAAGCATTATTAGGTCTGGAACTATATCAGTATGTGATTAATATTTTCTGTACTTCGCTCTCTGGATAAAAAATAAAATGAGGGTGAATCTCTTCATATTTGATGGGAGTGTACATAATTAAGAAGGGAAATGTTACAAGGTTTTACATGTCATCAATCACTTTAATTGGAAAGCAGTAACCTCATTTCTATCTTTAATTGGACTCTTGATAATTCAGAACCAAGATTCATGACAGCCTGTGATAAATTGGTCTCTTTCAGGCTAAAGAAGCTAGGAAGTTATAATTACCCATGGATTACTGAATGATTGGAGGACCTTGATCAAAGAGAAGCAATGAGATTTGTGGAAGACCAGGTAGATTCTGAGTATGATTTATTTATTTATTTATTTATTTTTAAGTGGCTAAGGAATAAATGTCTGTTTGATGTGACAAAAACCAAAGCGGTATGGTTTCTGAAATCCTAGAAAATTCAAATTCAATCTCCTGCCTTTGCACCCTGCATGAAAAGCAAAAAATGAGTATTTTATAAGTGGGTTATTTACAGAACGGTCTGAAGAAAATATGAGAAAGGCTGCAATTTTCTAAACTGTTATGAAAGGAATTGCCATTAATTTACTTAGAATTTGTACCATAATGAATAAATCTGAGTTCACAGATGTTTTGACATGATTCTTTGCTTTAGTTCCATGATGAAAACCAGAGTCATCTGTAAGCTTTATTACTAGAACTAGTGTTAAGAAATTTAATTTTTGATGCATAAGTGAAAAAAAAATATTCTTTTGGGAGTAGTGTGTTTTTACCTGTTGGTGTGTACGTTGGAGTCACCTTCAGAGGCAGTCCTGTGCTTTCCCTTCCTGCCCTCCTGGATACTGAGGTTCAATGAATACTAACATCAGGGTAATGCAGCAAAACTGTGGCTAGGGAAAGTGTGGCAGATTACACAGTGGCAAGCTACATATATCACCCACAATGTGTAGTTCACTTGACCTATATCACAGTGATAACTGCAGATGAAAAAAGTTCTAAGTTCAATTACTTCTTTACATCCTTGTTAAATCAGGGAAGCAATCCCATTGTGTTCTGAATACCCTCTGGCCCTGGTTTTAATTATGGCATTACTTCAAAAGGAAATTGCTTGACAGCAGTAGTCAGAGTCTTTAACTGGCAGCTGAGTGTACATTTCAGGAAGT